ACATATTATAGAATGTATAGCATGTACATATATGTATAGGAATTAATGTAGGATTATTCCAATGTTCTGATTCTTACAGTTACTAGTGTATACTGCCACATGTATATAAATAAGAAAGGTTGATAAAGACAATCTAGGCCATTCTATTATTTTGAACTAATTTGATGTTTGAAATATTGGATTACTTATTTTATTATTAAATCAAATGTCTTAAACATTCTTATTAAACCTAGCCTAGTATAATGGGTTGACTTAGAACATTCATGCTGGAAGTGTGGCCTAAACATTCATTGAAGTGTGGCTTAGTTGAGGTTTTAAATTAAGATGAAAAAGAAATTGACTTAGTGAAATATAATTCACTCGTAATCTAGTTGACCTAACTCGACTATACATAACTAGACTAAACATTCATGCTTGATTATTTATTTTTTGATTATACACGGTTTCATTAAATCATTAGTTCTCTTTAATATCTCATATTTACGAGGTCAGACATCTATTTTGTTGTTAACAGAGTTTGTCAGTTTATGCATGCTCTTATAGATTTCCATTGGGCTATTGTCAAATACTTTCTATGTTATCTTCAAGGTATGTTATCCTATGGCTTGCATATCACGCATAGTTTCCCCTTTGCATTACATGGCTTTACAGATGTAGATTTGACAGGTAGTATTGATCATTGCAAGTCTACTAGTGGTTATCTTTTTTTCTTTGGTCATACATTGATTTTATAAAAATTGAGCAAAAAATACATAGTTGCCTTCTCCTCTACCGATACTGAGTATAAAGCCTTAATAAATAGCACTATCGAGATTATCTAGCTTTAGTATTTATTGACTGATCTGCATATGTTTGTTGCTTCTACAGTCTTGTCTTTCATGCTTGTATTAAATATGTTGAGGTTGATTATCATTTTATATGATACACGACTGTGAAGAAAAAGATTCATATTCGTTTTATTTTTTTATAATTAACTTGCAGATATCTTTACTAAACCATTTCCTACTATGTTTTTTATTATTTTTTCTTCGAGCTTTGGGTCAATCTCTATCTTTACTATTATGTATTATCCTACATGTATAAATATAAAAAGTTGAATATCTAATATTTCTATTGTTATTCTCAATTGTCCTTGCATTAGCTTTTTGTTAGATTTAACATAACCGTAATAAATCAATTTTTTTATTGATGGGATATCCCACCTCTGACTTCAGCATGGGTTTTTTACCCCATTTGCTCTAAGTTTATAAGGTGCTAATTAAATAAGTTTCTGATGCGTCGAGGCTACTTATAAAAACATGCTTTAACCTCTAATTTTACACGTTGCTTATTCTATTTTTTATCCTTTTTTACGACAAATCTGGAATGGGAAATTGTAGAGAGCAGTGTTGTTCATCGAGAAAAAGGAAGAAGGAAATTGTAGAGAGCCAGAGTCCTCAAAGGGAGATAGATTTTCAATGTTCTTTCTTGTATGCACCATATAAAAAAAAGGAAATACGTTAATGGTTTTGGGTTCGGAATTCTGCAGTTTGTGCAGGGTGTGTGATAAATTTATAGATGGGTAACTTTTATTAGGAGGATGGACAGCAAGGCCTCATCATCAAGTGGAGAGGACATGGAAGGTGGTGTGCAGTAGGTGATGCCAATAACTGAATACGTACGGTCTGACTCGTGCAATTAAAGTTGGAAACATATGTATGCATGCATGGAGTCTTTTTCAGAAATAAGTGAAATAATAGTAGTACTCTAGATGAACCCTTTAATGACCTGACAGAAGGTAGCAATTGTACACATCGTTTTAAAAAATCAACCCGGTGTCAACTTGAGGAAATATTTAAATAACAAGTTGAGAGGGTTTAGACGGGCTACTAAAAGAGGTTTAGAAAATAAAAATTAAAACAATATTATTTTATTAAAAATAATATTTGATGATTAGATTTTGACTACTATATATTTTTTTTCAACGGAACCTGTCCAGGTCTAGGTATAGGTATTAAGACTATGATTGTACATCCATTAATTTTCTGTCCAGGCTAGCTGCAGGCTCCAGTCTTCTACCGGTGAATTTTTTTTCTTGATATTAAACTTACTTTCTTTGAATCTTTTAATGAAGAAAATGTAGAAGTGTTAACTTCTTCAAATACAAAGTATGGTCATGGAGTGGCAGGAAGATGAAAACTCATGGGATTTTCCTTGTTGTCGCTGAAGGGATCAAGAAATTTCCAGACTAATATCTCAAAATCTCGGAAGGCTCAAGCAGAGAGCATGGCAAGCTCTTTGCACAGCTATTATGCCTTGTCACAACTAGTTCAGGGGTCCGAAGGCTGGTAGATAGGAAAAACTGCCTTCACATCGGTGTTTAAGCCTTCTAACAAATTGGAAAGACATTGAGTCTGTTCAATCGTGTGTTTGAAATATTGGATTATTTATTTTATTGTTAAATCAAATGTCTTAAACCTAGCCGAGAATAATGGGTTGACTTGGAACGTTCTCGCCGGAAATGTAGCTTAAACATTCACCAAAGTGTGGCTTGGCCGAAGTTTTAAATTAAGATTAAAAAGAAATTGACTTAGTGAAATATAATTCACTGGTAATCTATTTGACATAACATTCATTCTAATAATTTTTTTAAAAATAATTAATTTAAACTAATTAAATAATCCAGGTTTTTTTTTTATCAATTCCCAAATCTGTTGCAAAAAATATTAATTTCAAACACATGGTGTCTTCTTGAAGAAGACACACCTCTTACATATCACAGAATCTGCCAAATCAAACCTCCCAGGCACCCATTCAGTGAAACGATCTTCTTCGCATGCCTAGTTTGGTTGATGCCTTTTCGATTCCTTTTATGGGATGGATATAGACAGCCGTGCCTGTGACTTTGTTGAACGAGATGCATGTGAAATGCCAGCAAGAAATTAAAGGGGAGTTTAGTTTCCCTTTCATCTTCCAGAGATATCACTCTCAGTGCATTTTTTACTCTCAACTTAGTGAGTGAAAAAAGTTATGAGAAAGGACAACTGGGTGAAATAAATTATGGGAATTAATGCCATAAGATTACAGCTTTCTGTATTTATTTTATTTCAGAAGTCCTTTTCATATGCCAGCTTGTAATAAGCTTTCAATTTTGGTAAATAGCTTTAAATTGTCGTTAGAAAAAATATATATTAAAAACAGTGTTTTTTATAGTTTAAATCATATTTACCACAACATGAAAACATAGATTATGGTATGTTTGAAAGTATGGTAATAATTAATTTTTAAAGTATTTTTATTTTAAAATATATTAAAATGATATTTTTATTATTTTTATTTAAAAGTTATTTTTGTATATCAACATAACAAAATGATCTAAAATTACAAAAAATAAATTAATTTTTTTTAAAAAATTTCCAACCCCCATTTAAAACGCGGTATATCAAACATATCAAACTTCTAGGGATATTTCATAAAAGGGTTTTTGTTAAAAATTATTCAAGTACTTAATTAGCCATGATATATATTTGTTTTCTTGTTTGAATACTTAAAAATATTAATATATAAAATAATATTTATTTCATGATCAAAAGAATAAAGACCTAATTTTTTTGTTAAATTCTTTTTAATTTTTTTAAAAAAACCCCATTGAATTTTGTTTTAGTTTTTCTATAAAAATTTTATTATTATTTTGATCGACCTTCTAGTGCTGATAAAAATAACAAAATACAACGCTTGTCCTGCAATGAACTTGTACATGTGTGCATAGATAGAAACAAATGCATTGATAGAAAAAGTATGTTCTAGAAGTAAAATTATGAGACAATAATTTATTTATAGAAAAATATATAGATTGTTGTCATGTAGTTTTATTTATTGAAAAAAAATAAAAAAGAAAAAATGAGAGAGATAAAAGTTGGTTAGCTGCTAGGCAAGATGGGCAACCAATCGGTCTTGCTGTCCAATGGGCGACCAGCAAGGTTGACTGGGCAAGGCCTAGAACATTCCACAGGTTTTTTTTAAGAAAAATAATATGTTTTATTATTTTATTTTTTTACCATAATTCCATACTTTTACTACAAAATTAAATTCATATTAGGTATGTAACTAAAAGAAAATGTTCATGCTGGGTAAAGCCAAGACTTGGATTCATTTTATTCAATAAACATCTTAAGCTATTACAATACTTTAAATTTTAAATTGACACTCCAAATCAATAGTTGAAAATTCGATTATATATTCATATATAATGCAGTCCAACGCGCACGAGATCTCCCAAAAAAATAATAAAAATTATTAAAATACTGTATTCTCGGATTTTAACATAAGAGTTTGAAACTTTTGAATTAATTGGTTAAATCACCGGAAGGTATATGATGTAGAATCTCATGCCATTGTGCATCCTGTTGATTAAACTATGTATTATTATGGTAGTAGATTAAATTAAATTTTTATATGATATTAGTGTTTTAATAACCAAATAATTATTTTATTATCTCTATTTATTTGATAAAAATCAAGTATAAGATAATATGGATTTATATAAATTTTAAATCTAAAGAATTTTTACTTGAAGATTATATTAAAAAATAATATAAATTATATTTTTAAATTTAAATTATTGAATTTAAGTAGTTTTTTAACATTGCATAATATAAATATATATGAGTTATATATTCAAGTCCTTCGAATTATATATTCAAGTTAAGAATTTTCCTAACAACAATCATCTTTTTGAGCTATAAATTTAAGCTAAGAATTTCCCTAAGGACAATCATCTTTTTTGAGTTTGGGGACCTATTTTCCCCTTTTCCTTTTCAAGATGCTGCTTAACCATTGCCAAGACTGCTCTCTCTCTCTTGCTATGTCCTGGATTCCAGAACAAATATGTGTAGTATTTGAGGAATCCAAGTATCCTTGCAAATAAAACAGAAGTAAGACTCACATTACTTCAGATTCCATTGACATGCAGTCTGGCATATTTAAATTAGATGTCCTGCTGTCTGATAGGTATAGCTGGTTAAGGTAAAATAATATTTTCTTTAGCCATGTCTAGCGTAGCAATAAACATAGTTGAAAACTCGATTCCGAGAGATCACATGGCAAATACAACGATAGATAGTAAGTTATATGAGTATGTTAAGCAGGACAATATTGAGGAATTTAAAAGCCATTTCGGGCTAGATTTAGGGGAGAAGCTTGTGACTCCCTGTGGGAATTCATTACTTCATGTAGCCATAAGGCATAAAAGTGACAATATAACTGCTTATCTGACTAAAGAGATCCCTTCTCTAATCACCAGCTCAAACGACCAGCAAGACACAATCCTTCATGTTGCTGCCAGAGAGGGAAGTGTTAGTCATACAATTCGAGACCTTGTCAAATCGAATGCTTTCTTGCTGAGGATGAAAAATAGAAAAGGAAACACTCCTTTGCATATTGCAGTGATCCATGGTAACAAAGAAGTTGCCAAATTCCTCATTTCCAGAGATCCAGAAGTGGCCTATGACAGCAACAAGACTGGCAGGTCTCCTTTATATCTGGCTGTTGAGAATCGCGACAGAAGCGGGATTCTTGATGATCTCTTGAATACGGAAGCTCCGATCCCTACAGAAAGAGAAGATGGAGATTCACTTGGCATGCTACCACAAGGAAAGTCAATTGTTCATGCTGTCGTCAAGAACCGTATGTTAGGTGATCAAAATGTCTCAACTCATCAGAAAAATGATATACATACAAACCAATCTTGCAAACCTCTCATCTTTATATTCATTCGAAACAATTTATTCTTATTTTCAGGTATATTGCAGAAAATCGAAGAAGCAAAGCCAGAGTTATTACGTCTCCATGACAAAGAGTTTGGAAATCCACTCCATTATGCATCATCTACAGGCTATGTGCAAGGAGTTCGATTCCTATTAGAAAAGTATCGTGCCGGTGCCGATGAAACTGACCAAGAGGGCAACTATCCTATTCATCTTGCATGCAAGGAAGGCTCGGTTGCTTTGTTAAAGGAATTCCTGAAAGTTATCCCCTATGCAAACGAATTCATAAATAAAAAAAAGCAGAACATTCTTCATGTAGCGGCCCAAAATGGACATGGCTTTTTGATTATGTACATACTCGAACAGGATCAGAAGATCGTAAAAGCACTGCTCAATGCGATGGATGAGGATGGAAATACACCTTTGCATTTGGCAACACAGCACGGCCAGCCCACATCTGTATTTCTTATTGTGCGTGACAGCCGCGTTTATCCTCGTATTGTTAACGATGACGGTTTGACACCATATGAACTTGGTAGAAAACAATCCACAATAGCGGTACAGCGATATGAAGGAACAGATGGAACGGTATGAAGAGCTACAAGAGTATAGTTTTTAGTATTATAATTGCGTTAATAATGTGGTACCTATGCTTCCTCTTTGTTTCCAGTTTGCTGAGGAGCGACAGCACTTTGATTCAAATAACAGGGTGGAAGGGACCGAGGTAAAAGAGATATGTTGATACTTGCTCTGCTTGCATTTTAAATATTTTGATTAAAGATATACATTCCATATACAGAAACGATATGAAAAGATTTGAAAATTATGGAATATGTTATGATGTTATGGGAATCAAAATATATGAATATTGCAAAAAAGAAAAAACAAGAAAAACACACAGATTTAACGTGCTTCGGTGATTTGTCTGCATTAACAAAAACGAGGAATTATATTTCATTATTTATTAAATTAGTATTATATAACATGTATTTATAGTAAACCCATGTTGTGCCATACAAGAGTTATATTTCACTATCCAATCGGCAGGCAGTAGGCTTCCCTCCGCTCCACTCTAAAATCTGCATGCTTCTCTCAATATAAGTCAAATACTACAACACAAGCAAGGTGTTGAGAGGTGGGTCAACCGGATAAGCAAGATTATCGTATTAAAATGTTCTACTGTAGGAAAGCCTACAGGTTTGACATAAGAAAAGTACTGGCGAACCTAAAAAAGTTCGTCAGCTTTATTATTTTTAATGTAGCTCTAAGGATATTTTAGCTGTTCAAAAGTTTGAGTGGCTTACATTATTGTCTAGCCATAATATATAAATAAAAAAAATAACACATGTTAACGTTTTTCTTGAGACAGGACAAACCAGCTGATCAAAACAAGCAAGACACGAAAAAGGCATCACTAAAAGATTACGAACGGCGAGATATTTATGGAGCGGTATTACTTCTTTTCTTCATTCTTCTTTCGTTCTTTTTATCCTTTATCATTTTAGTTGTGGTCTTTTGGTTTCCAGAAGAGCTTAAGACAAGATAGAATTTAAGAAAGGGGATGGCTTCTTGAGGGTCTTGGTTTAGAATGCAAAGACACTACCTTTGCTAAAAGCGGTGTTGATCAACTAGATGCAAGTTTTTGAACAACTAGTTCTGCGCCGATTAGTTTAACTTCTATATTATAATATTCAAAATTCCGAAACCATTCCAGAATTTTGCTATCTTGTTACCAAAAAGGAATTTCTAGGGATGCCAACGCTTTTTAATGATCTTCAAAGGCAACAGGGAAAATGCCAATAATAGAAGTGCCAAAAACACATTAAAACCATCGAGTTCTTTTCCCTTGATGTGCAGATGATGACATTATCGATCCTATACTCCTATGCTTGTCCTAGGGAATCATTACGTGACCATTTCACTGGTACTCGACCCATGCAACCAAGGAAAAAGCAAACAAAAACAAGGATAGGGAATCTTCTTGTGGTAGCAGTGCTTGTTACTGGTAGCAGTGCTTGTTACTGGTGTGACCTTTGGGGGAGCCATTCAATTGCCACAATTAAGGGGTAATATTATCTCAAGTAAACATCATCATGAATTTCACAGCAGTATTACTGCTTCCTATAACATCCCTGACCTTTACAGTCCTGCTGGTTATGAGAGGCTTCTGTATGCTTATTTATCTTGCGATGTTTGGGCTTTATGTCTCTCTCTGGTGGCAGCTCTAATCCTTCTTAGGGCAAACTTTACTGATGCCAAATTTGGAATCTTTGCGGTTGGATTTTCAGTCGTCATCGTTAGTTTGGCTATTCTCAAGATGTTCCAGGCATTCATTTATGCTGTGACTATAGCATTACTAGGATCCGATGATGCGTGGTCAAAAATCATCATTACACTGGAGGTCTTTATGGGTTTGTGTACTCTGGTTTTCATTGTTATTCCTTGGATTCTTCCGTCAGGGGGCATCCCAGAGCTCTCGCATTATCTCTACTACAAATATTTTTGGTTTCTTTTCTACACTTACGAGTGGCTGCCTTATAAAATTGACATCAGAAAGCACAGGTAACTATCCAGGATGATCTTCACCGACAGAGGTCAGGATTTGTGGGATTTCCCACCTTTAAAAGGTTTTGGGATCAATAAAACCTTGGATCTCTTTTCTGTCGATTGTAATAATTATTTGAATTTGAAATAACTTTTGAGTTTCCAATTGAATGTATGGGCATTTCTATTTTTTTTTTTTGAAGCATGCATTTATTAGACTCCTTTTGTTGGAAGAATATTAAAAATACATTACTACATATAGGCTTTATAGCACGTATTTTTATTGAAAAAAGAAAGAAAGGACGAACTTATATGGAAATAATAGTAAAACCACAACACTTTACAAGAAATGTTATGCTGAAATATTTGTTTTGACAAAAAATCTTCCACATGAGATATGATAATATCACGTCAATTGTGAAAGCTATGAAATCATATACGCACACACATACTTTTTGGTTATTTAAGTAGACTTATCTTAATATACTTTGATTGGATTCTAGAATTTTAGGGAAGGATTTAGATATTAAAAATTGGTTAATTTGACTAAAAAATAATGTGGATAAAAATATTCAATCCTCACTCAAATATTTTTATTTTTTCTCTGTTTTAATTTTAGATAATAATCAAGAGTATATTGAAAAGACCATAAAACTAATAGTCAAAGCAAAATACAGAGATATAATAAAAAAAAAGACTTAGAAAAAAAAACTGATATGTTACAATAAAAAATAAATAAACTATCTAAGATTTTTTATTATACAACAATTTAATATTATCAAAAAATCTTAAGATTTATTATTTTTTCTGCTTTCTTAATTTTTACTCTCACTTTCTTTTGATTTCATTTTTTTTACAAGGGTCATTTTCTCCTTTTCTCTTCTTTTTTTGTTCAATTTTTTACATTCTTCTCTCCCGCTCAAGGCTAAGAATATTAAAAAATCAACAAAATATCCCAAACAGGTCAAAATTTTGAAAAATGAGGAGATTTATAAAATAATAAATTTTTTTAATTTTGGGTTTCTATTCTGGTTTCTTGATAAAAAATAATTTATAGAAAAAATTAATGTTAAAAATAGACTATGACATTGATGGCGTGAAATTTTTAATTTTTAATTATGTTATCGTTTATTTATATATAGAATCTAATCAAACACCTGGGTATTTTTCTATTACGGAATTCTGGTCCCATCTGAGAGCTGGAATGTTGAACACCACGGAAACTCTCATCCACATTGATTCAAACTTGCTACAGATGAAGAATAGAGAAGGAAATACTCCTTTGCATAATGCAGTGATTCGAAGTCAATGATTCGAAGTCACTGTGCCGTGGCCGAGTTCCTTGTTTCGGCTGTAAATGAACTTGCCTATTTCAAGAATAAGGCAGGCAAATCTCCCTTGTGCCTTGCAGTCGGAAATATTGGCTGCAAGAAGAAGGCAGACAAATCTCCCTCGCTCAAGAATTCGAGAATAACCAAGAGGAGAGAATACTTGACCTTCTCTTGGACTGCATAGCCGAAGATACTGATTCACTGTGCAAGCTTGATGGAATGACGTCCCCGGCACATGCACGCTGCTGTCCAGCCAAAAAAAAAAATTAATAACGGTGATAACAATATTTTATAGTCAAATCATATATATAGATTATAGCTAATTAACAGTATGACATATTTGTTTCAATTTTCTTTCTGAATTTCAGATGTACTGAGAAAACATCGCAGAAAAGAAGCCAGAGTTACTCTATTTTCGTGACAAGGAGATAGGAAATGCACTTCATTTTGCACCATCACAAGGTAATGCTGAAGAAGTTCGGTTCCCGTCAAAGGAACTTAGTGCATCTGAAAGCAATGAAGAAGGCAACTTACCCATCCTTGTTGCATGCATAAAGGGCCATGTTAAAGTAGTAGAGGAGTTGCTTAAGCAGTGGTCTGATCCAATGGAATTTGTCAAGCACAAAAGGCAGAACATTCTTCATGTCGTTGCCGTAAATGGACAAGAAAAAGCGGTGAAGCATATACTTAAATTATTGTAATTCAAAATGAATAGCCGCCGAATCGGACATCCCACACCTATCTTTAATTTATCTACTTTAATTAAATTAAATTAAAATCAAATTAAAAAATAGAAATTAAAGTAAAAGGGAACTAGGTGATATAGTTAGTATTATTTGTTAGTTGACAATTATTATTCAGTGTTGCAAATAATTCTCCGTTACTTGAGGGAGAAGAGTCTTTTTCTGTTATTTCTTGATTTAGTCATGTACCACGATCCTAGGTCCTGCAATTGTGGGTTGTTATCTTATGTTATTGTAAGGCTATTTAACAGCCATAAGCATCATTGAATAAAGGGTGCATTACTCTTAGCTTTCTAGTGTAAACAGTTACTGTATAAGACTTTTGGCAAATTCTTTTGTTTTATCATTTGGTATTAGAGCCTCTCCACAAAAACTCCACAAAACTTGTATCACAACCTTCTTCATATCATACTTCACAGACGAGAAGACACAGATCAGGGCAATCAACATTTATTGAGTTCTTAACACAGTTACCAATGTGAAGAAACAATGGCATCTAAAAGCAGTTTTGTACAACCTGCAATCCCACGGTTTGATGGACACCATGATCACTGGAGTATGCTGATGGAAAATTTTCTACGTTCCAAAGAGTATTGGCACCTGCTGGAAATAGGGATCATTGCAGCAGCAGAAGGAGTTGATCCCAGCAAAGCACAACAGAAACATATTGATGAGCAAAAGTTAAAAGACCTGAAGTGCAAAAATTATCTGTTTCAAGCTCTTAATCGATCAATATTAGAAACAATATTGAAAAAGGACACAGCTAAAGATATATGGGATTCCTTAAAACAGAAATATCAAGGAACTGCACGTGTAAAACGTGCTCAATTATAGGCTCTTCGCAAAGAGTTTGGAACACTGCTTATGAAGGCTGCAGAATCAGTCAACGACTATTTTGGAAGAACTCTCATTATTGCTAATAAAATGAGAATTCATGGAGAATGCATGAAGGACGTGGTGATTATTGAGAAGATATTACGGTCTATGACTCCGAAATATGACTATGTTGTTTGTTCTATAAAAGAATCCAATGATTTGGATATTTTATCCATTGACGAGCTACAGAGTAGCTTGTTGGTTCATGAACAGAGAATTAGCCGTCATGTTGTCATCGAAGAAAGAGCATTGCAAACGACTTACGGGGCACAACAAGGAGGAAGAGATGGTGGTAGAAATAACTATCGTGGACGAGGAAGAGGCAAATTTGGTTTTGATAAAACAACCATAGAATGTTATAACTATGGTGACCGAGGACATTTTCAGTGGGAATGTCCAAGGAAAGCATGGGATCAAAAGGTAAACTATGCAGAGACGAGAGAAGAGATGTTGTTGATGGCTTATGTTAATTTGCAGCAAGCTGAAACAAAACATATATGGTTTCTTGATTCTAGATGCAGCAACTATATGTGTGGATAGAGGGACATATTTTATCATTTTGATAGCAATTTCAGAGAATCAGTAAAGATGGAAAATAACTCAAGTCTTATTGTCCAAGGAAAAGGCAGGGTTCGAATGGAGGTGAATGACATTATTCATGTGATCACAAATGTATATTTTGTACTAGAACTGAAGAACAATCTGCTCAGCATCGGCCAACTACAAGAAAAAGAACTTGCTGTGCTTATTCAACAAGGGAACTGTAAAATCTTTCATCCTGAGAAAGGTTTGATTATTGAGACTGAAATGACTCATAATTGAATGTTTGTTATGTTAGCAGATTGCTCACGATCAAAAGATCAAAAATGTCTTTCCTCTGTAATCATTGATTAATATACTCTTTGGCATTATCGCTATGGACATCTCAGCTGGAATGGCATCAATATACTGTGGCAAAAGAAGATGGTGGATGGGTTACCTCATTTCAAAGCTATTCAGCAGGTGTGTGAAGGACGTCTAGCAGGAAGACAACATCGTGATTCTTTTCTAAAAGGTAGCATATGGAGGGCATAAAAAATTCTTCAATTGATACATGTGGATATATGTGGTCCAATAACTCCAGTTTCCAACAGCAGCAAAAGGTATATCATTACTTTTATTGACTATTTCAGTAGAAAACTCTAGGTTTATTTCTTGACATACAAGTCAGAAGCCTTTGCTACATTCAAAATCTATATGGTTAAGGTTGAGAAAGAAACCAGCACATTCATTCAAAGTGTGAGAATAGATAGGATGGACAAATATCTCCATTGGTTTGAGGTCTTTTGGGTATAATCCAAGAGCAAATCCATGAGGGTTTAGGCCCAAAGTGGACAATATCATACCAATGTGGAGATAGTTGATGTCCGTTAATCCTTATAAGTGGTATCAGAGCCATGCCCCAGAGTTAGCCATGATGGATGAATCCTCGGAATGCCGAACAAAAGGTGTGGGCCCTAATTAAAAAAAAAATCACGATGTGATCCATGGATAGGCGGTGTGCTCCAAATGCTTTATGGACGTGTCCTGATCTCAACACGGTGAAGAGGAGTTGACCTAGAAAGAGCAAAAACTCTCAAGTCAGGTAGTGCTCTCCGGATGCTTCATGGACGTGTCCTGACCCCAACACGATGAAGTAGAGAGAAGTAGAGGATGAAAAATCCTGGTTGGCAGAGAGTGGATGGATAAATAATCGTTTGAGGAGAGGCTCGGTGGTCCTTTGTTCGAGGGAAAGATTGTTGGGTATGCAACCAAAGTCCCACATTGGTTAGAAATGGGGAGGATTAAGGGAATATAAGGATGGACAAATATCTCCATTGGTTTGAGGCCTTTTGGGTATAATCCAAGAGCAAATCCATAAGGGCTTAGGCCCAAAGTGGATAATATCATACCAATGTAGAGATAGTTGATGTCCGTTAATCCTTACATACTTCATCACCATTCAACAGTTTCTGCAATGAGAATAGAATATCCAAACAGTTGACAGCACCATATAGTCCTCAACAAAACGGTGTTGCGCAAAGGAAAAATCAAACCATTATGAATATGGTGCACAGTATGTTGTTGGAGAAACAAATTCCAAAATCCTTTTGGCCAGAAACAATGAATTAGGCGATGCATGTCCTTAATAGAAGTCCTACTCTTGCCGTGAAAAACAAGACACCTGTAGAAGCTTAGAATGGCATCAAACCTTTAGTGGCACATTTCAGATTTTTTAGTTGTATATCCCATGTCCATATTCCTGATCACAGAAGGGTAAAGCTAGATGCTGAAAGTCTGAAATGTGTCTTTCTAAGGGTAAGTGAGAACTCTAAAGCATACAGGCTTTTTGATCCTATTTCATAGAAGATAATTATTCGCAGGGACGTGGTTTTTTAAGAATACCAACAGTGGAATTGAGGTGATATTCACAAGCCAATTACAGCAGCTGAGTTAGCATAGGAAGTCACTGAAAATAAGGATGAGTCTCATACAGTTGAAGAACCAATGGAGAATGGGTCTGCACAGAGTATTTTTCAAGAAGAACCTTCACATGCAACTGTAGCAATACTGAATGAAAATGACACCAAACATGCTAGTGTTGAAGTAAACAAATTAGCTAACTCACCCAGTGCAAAAACCACAATTGCAGAAAGTAGAACACGCCGACATCCTGCATGGCTAACAGATTATGAAATTGATCACAGTTTCTTCACTGTAACAGATGTAAATATAGCTCATCTAGCTTTGTTCACCAACAGTGATCCAACAACCTTTGAAGAGATTGTAAAAAGTGAAAACTCGAGGCATGCCATGAATCAGGAAATTGCAGCAATTGAGAAGAATGAGACATGGGAATTAAGAAATCTGCCGGTAGGAGGAAAAACAGTTAGAGTGGAGTGAATTTTTAAAACCAAACTCATGGAGAAGTTGATAAGTATAAAGCTCGTTTAGTTGTCAGGTGCTACAACCAACAATATTGGGTGGATTATGCAGAAATATTTGCACCAGTGGCTCGGATAGACACAATTCGTATGGTGCTCTCTTTTGCAACACAACAAAGCTGGTTGATTTATCAACTTTATGTAAAATCAGCCTTCCTGCATGGTGAAATTAATAAAGAGGTGTTCGTCGATCAACCTCCAGGTTATGAGCAGAAGGGGGAAGGGGAAGAAACAAAAGTCTACGACTTAAGAAAGCATTGTATTGACTCAAATAAGCTCTTCAAGCTTGCTACAATCACATAGAGTCCTATTTCTCCAAAGAAAGCTTCCTCAAATATCCTTATAAACATACTTTGTTCATAAAAACAGTAGTTAGAAGTAAAATATTAATCATTTATCTTTATGTTAATAATCTTATTTTTACTGGAAATGATGAAGTTATGTTCAATTAATTTAAGAAGACAATCATGAATGAATTTAATATGATTGACCTTGGGAAAATGAGATACTTTTTAGGCATTGAAGTATTGCAAAAGGAAGATGACATTTTTATTAGCCACTAAAAATATGCTCACGAGATTGTAGAAAGATTCCACATGGGTTAATCCAATTGTTCTTGGATTTAAACTAACAACAGATGAAGGAAGAGTACACTTTGATAGTACATTTTATAAGCAAATGGTGGGAAGTCTCATGTATCTAACTATTACGCGTCCTGATTTAATGTTTATAGTAAGTCTAATTAGTAGATACATGAAACATCCCACTAAATCTCACTTGTTGGCAGCAAAAAAGATTCTAAGATATATAAAGGGGACAATTAGTTTCGAGATGTCTTATAGGAAGGGAGGAGATGCAAAGTTCTGTAGTTATACAGATAGTGATTATATAGGTAATCAAGATGATAGAAAGAGTACTTCAAGTTATGTTTTTATGATGAAATCAAGTGTAATATCTTGGTCTTCAAAAAAACCAGTAGTTACTCTCTTTACCACTGAAATTGAGTTTATTGTTGCAATATCAAGTGCTTGTCAAGTTGCTTGGTTAAAAAGAATTTTGAAAAGTCTAACTCATGTGTTGTCCAGACCTACGGTGGTGTATTGTGATAATATATCAATCATCAAACTCTCAAAAAATCCAGTAATGTATGGTCGTAGCAAGCATATAGATATTCGCTTTCATTTTTTTCATGATCTAGTCAAAGATAAAGTAATAGAGCTAACTCAATGTACTACTCATAAACAAGTTGCTAATATTATGACCAAACCATTAAAGATTGAAGTTTTTTTAAAAATACAAGAATTAATGGGTGTTTGTGAATATTCTGAATAGACTGAATGTTAAGAACATGCAATTCAAGGGAGGATGATAAAGTTAGTATTTTTTGGTAGTTGACAATTATTATTCAGTGTTGCAAATAATTCTCCAATATTTGAGGGAGAAGAGCCTTTTTCTGTTATTTCTTGATTTAGTCATGTACCACCATCCTAGATCCTACAATTATGGGTTGTTATCTTTTGTTATTGTAAGGCTATTTAACAGCTATAAGCATCAGTGAATAAAGTGTGTATTACTCCCAGTTTTCTAGTGTAAATAGTTACTATGTAAGGCTCTCGACAAATTCTTTTGTTTTATCACTGTCCCACCATGATTAACATATTTTTTAATTAAAAAAAAACCCACTCACTTAGATTTACAAAACCAGGTTAGCATGCTTTTCTCTTTTTTGTTAAACAAAAAATGGACGGAATCTTTTTTTGTAAAAATAAGATGACAATGTAATATCTTTTATTTTTAAATTTCAGCCACTGGAATAGTGGTCGGAAATGGTGCTCGAGTATTTTAGAATTAATTTATTTTTATTTATTTTTATTATAAATATTTAATTGATTTTATTATAATGTTAATAAACCAATATAAATCAAAACCCTGTCCAAAAATATAATTTAAAAATAAAAAAAAAAATCATTTCTTAATTCTCATCTATCTTCTCCCGAAAAATAAAGATTAAAAGACACTTCAATAGGACAACGAGTGGAGCTGTTGTCGAATGTTTGTAATAAAGATGTCCATTTTCTATTGTCTTGGAAGTAACGGAAACCAGTGACAACTACAAAGCTTTGTCGTCGAAATCATCAATTTTCGTCTTCGTAGAAATGGGCACCGGTAACAATTATTGATGAATGATATTGTGACACGTGGACAAGAATCAATTTTTTTTACTGTAATTTATTTTAGATTTTTTTTCTTTAATTTATTTATCAAAAATGACTTGATATTTTATTAAAAAACTGAAATTCTAATCTGAATCAAGTAGATGTTTAACAATATAATTTGTCAACTAATAAGTGCTAACACTGTGAACATATAGAAACATAAAGAGAGATGATATTAAACATAAACTTTGTCACAGAAGGACACAATGCAACCGTATATTAATAGAAGGACCTGATTAAATATTTCGTACTAATAGAGGGACCAATTAAAAATATCTAAAGCCTCCTATGCAGGTTGTTGTCTCCCTTGGTCCATTTTAATCTTACAATGATCCACGGGCTTTCATTCCAGGACCATTTT